TATATATAAAAGCTGTAAGTCAAGTGACTTTATCAAGAATAATTCACTTGGGAACCATGAGCAGAGAGGGATTTACCTTGAAGGTAATATACTAAAGCTTCAGGCCCTTCCTTGTGTGAGCCTCTTCTAAGATCCTATACCTTATTTTGTATTCTTCTTAAATTGTTTTTGTTTCAAGTGCTACAAAACTTTGAACTGTCCCTGAACATGGCACGGTAAGTTAAATTCATTTAGATTTTGATAGTTAAAAAGTCTGCCACCTATTAGTGAAAAGTAAGGCAAAAATGGAGGAAATTCTAAGGTAAATTGAGAGCTCCCTTTCACAATATGTTTCAAAAAAGAATAGGCCGACTGTCCAAATTGGCATGCTTTTGAGTTAGAATTATCATGGAGATGTCAGTTAGCTATTTCAGTGACCGTAACTCAATGCCTACAACATTTTCTGAAGATGTGAATTCTTTACATGTGAAATGTTAGCTGTATATAACCTCACATTGTAATTTGTTCTCCCAATAGCTGGGAAGCTCCTGGGAATCAAGGACCTGATAGTACATTTCTTTTTATTTTCCCTGTATATCATCTGGCATACTACTTTCTTCATGACAGTCATCAATAATAATATTTTTTGAAATACAGAAGTAATATAAATACATTACAAACACGGAAAATAGAGAAGATGGGAAACAAAGTCACTCATAATCTCATTCTCCTAATACAAGTAATAGTATTTCTCTATATATTTAATCTGTATTTTCTAATAATAATATTTTAATATCATGATAATTATACTGTTTTGTGTGCTGCTAAGTAATTACCTGTTGAGTTAATGGAGTGCTAGAAGATTGTCAAGGTCCTGCTTATAACTCAGAAAAGTACATATCAAGATGTTTTATAAATCTGCTCGGAACTACTGAGCTTACCTGAAAGGCTGGGATAGAAACAGTCTTCAAAGCGTACTATTTTGGAGGATAAAAAAGGAAATTGGGTTCCTTTCTCAGTTTACATTCAATATATATTCCAGATAGATTAAAAATGTAAATAGGAAAATAAAAACTGTGGAACTCTTAGAAAACATCAAGGCATTCTTGGTAGACTCCAGCTGTATCTGACTATCTAGCCAGACCCCAGCAGTGGCTGAACTGGAACAGCTGGGATTTGTGCACCTCCTGGTTCTCAGACAGGAGAATGTGTGCTATAGAATCTCTTAAGTTAGATAAAGCAGTCAGAAAAAGGAAAATAACAAAAGCGATATGATCACTACAGAAATCATAACAGAACACAGGTCCTCAAAAAGTTTCCCTTGTAAGCCGCCCCAGGAATAAGTGTTTCCAGCTTCTGAGAACTCAGAAAAGAGCTGTACTGTGCCCCTGGTATGTGTTCCTTTTAGAACCTGGAGTCCGTGCTTTACTGACTCCTTCCCTGGAGCAGCTAACACATAAGGCAGTGTCAGTGGAAGTGGTAAAATTTTACAATTGGAATTTGAAAAACAAACCATTTAGTTCCAATACGTAAAGAGCTGGGAAGTTGTCACTCACATCCAAGAAGCAAGTAAAAATCTGAACAAAATGAAAGTCAGTGAGTTTGAGACCTGTCAGATAATAGGGGCCGCAGGGCAAACCACCACCCTGTGGAATCTGGACAGCGTGTGAATACAGTGAATCATAGCCAGGAGCCGCTCACCCAGAGCAAAGCTCCTGGAGCCATAAACTGATAGGGACACTTCTGCGGGGATTATGATAAATTACTGGAGTCTGGGTGTGGACTAGCTTGATAGTGAAAAGCTCCTCAAGGTCCAGTGTTAGGGGAACCCCAGATTTTCATGAGTTCTCCCTTCAAGAACAAAACCACGTTCTCACAGTGAAAATACAGGAAAAATTCCCTCCCATTTTGGGGCAGAGGGAGGAGAAAAGTAACCATTTGCGATTGGCCCAGAGTGGTCTATTCTCCCTAACGAAGGCCAGCTCTCCAAGGGAAACTTTGCCAGCACCTTTTCTGTCCTGTGGGAAGGGCAGTTAGCCAACTCTAACCCGCTCGAGCTTTCCTGTTTCGTATAAGGAGAGAAAAAATGCTAAGAAACACTTTTGGGGGCACCCGGCTGGCTCAGTCAGTGGAGCATGTGACTCGATCTCAGGGTCGTGGGTTCAAGCTCCACGCTGGTTGTACAGCTTACTTTAAAAATAAATATCTCCCTCTCCCTCTCCTGCTCCCCCTGCCTGTGCTCTCTCTCTCTGTCAAATAAAATCTTAAAAAACAAAACAAAACACACATACATCCAAACAGATGGTGCTCATGAACATAGAAACCTGAAGCACACAGGGATACAGGTCCACTAAAAGACCAAGATTTAATCATTAGGTCATGGGATATGTTCCCTCCCCTGCACCCGTCTACCACATCACCAGGGCCCCAGTATAACAACAGGGTTTCAGCTGAAAGAACTGCAAGACAAACTCTAATAAGAGTTCTTAGTCAAAGACAACAGGAGAAACAAAACAAAACAAGGGCACTAGAGGAAACAAGCCTCTGGTACCTACAACTACTGCAGACATTAAACCCAGTGTCCTAGCCAGATTCACATTAAACTTTACAGTAAAGGTCTGTGTTTACCTTACTTACTGTAAAGTGATACCTCATGTCCAGCTTTTAACAAAAAAATGACAAGGCGTGCTAAAATTTAGGTAAGAAAAAGCACAGTGTAAGGAGACAAAGCAAGCATCAGAACCACAGATTTTGGAATTATCAGATATAGAGTTTAAAGTAACTGATTAATATGTTAAGGGCTCTAGAGTGTGTAGACAGCATGCAAGAACATTTGGGAAATGTAAGCAGAGAGATGGACGCTCTAAGAGAAAAGTCAAAAGAAAATGCTAGGAATCGTTGTATGCAAACAATGAATCATAGAACACTACATCAAAAACTAATGATGTACTGTATGGTGACTAACATAACATAATAATAATAAAAAAAAGAAAATGCTAGGAATCAAACAATGTAACCGAAATGAAGAATGCAGTTGGTGGGCTCCTCAGTAGACTGGACGCAGCTGAGGAAAGAATCCGTGACCGAGAACATATGTCAATGGAAACTTCCCAAACTGAAATGCAAAAGAGAAATAAGAATGAAAACAAACGTAGTATCCAAGGTCTGTGGGACAATTTTAAGAGGTATAACATATGTGTTATTTGAATACTACAAGAATAAAGAAAGGAGCAGGAGAAATATTTGAAGTAATAATGGCCAAAAATGTTCCAAAATTAATGATAAACACCAAGCCACAGAACCAGGAAGCTCTGAGGACACCAAGCAGGATAAATGTCAAAACATTTTTTGAATCATATTCAAACTGCAGGAAACCAAAGACAAATAGAAAATCTTGGAAAAAACATGGGGATAAGAATGTCTTACCTATAGAGAAACAAGGTAAGAAATATATCAGGCTTAAGCAAGAATGGGGGGAGTGAAATATTTATAAAGCATTGAAAGAAAAAAAAACTAACGTAGAACTCTGTGTCCAGTGAACTTATCCTTCAAACAGGAGGGAGAAATAGACTTCCTCAGACAAACGAAAGTTGAGGGACATTATCATCACAGACTTGACTTGTAAGAAATGATAACAGAAGTTCTTCAGAGAGAAGGAAAATGATACAGGTCAGAAATTTAGATCTCCATAAAGAAAGGAAGAGTATTATGGGACGCCTGGGTGGCTCAGTTGGTTAAGCGACTGCCTTCGGCTCGGGTCATGATCCTGGAGTCCCTGGGTCGAGTCCCGCATTGGGCTCCCGGCTGGGCAGGGCGTCTGCTTCTCCCTCTGACCCTCCCCCCTCTCATGTGTGCGCTCTCTCTCTCTCATTCTCTCTCAAATAAATAAATAAATAAAATCTTTAAAAAAAAAAAAGAAAGGAAGAGTATTAGAGAAAGAATAAATGAGGCTAAAATAAAATCTCTCATTTTTCTCTTCTCAATTGATCTCACAGACAACAGTTTGTCCAGAGAAATAATAGCAAGAAAGTGTTCAGTGATAATAGCTTAATGATAAATGAAAAGAGGAGGAAAACTCAAGCAGGCAGATCCAAAAGGAAGAAATCAGCTCCTGTTATTTTGTCAAGAGAATGTGATGGACAGGTTGGAAAAGGTTAAAATTGAACATTCAGTAGAAATGGTATATCAAGAAACTAAATTATTCCAAGTGGTTTAATGAAGTGGCTTGATGAGGTGAACAAAAAAGGAACAGAAATGAGCTGCTGTGCTAACACAGTACATTTACAAGACCCTTCCTGGTTTTTCTTTTATATTGTTTCTTTTTGACAATTTTTATTTTAAAAAATCAACAGAAAAAACATTTGCTGGTCACTCATTTCTATATCATGGTGGTGAATATGTGAGGTGAACTACAGAGTGAACATATCAAAATACACCTTATGAGAAGAATGCTTTCATGTTCACCAAATGGTCTGTTTACCCTTATTTTCCTAAGTGTTCTGTGCATTTACTCTTAATATGATTTCTCATAATTTTACTATTTTAGATTCAACATTAAAGTGCCTTTTTTGTTTTTATGATATAATATTAGTAATATTTTTTAAAAATTAATAATCCATATTAATTTATTTCTTAACCTTTTTATGGATGAGCCATTGTAATTTTTAGTCTGCCTGAGCTTATAAAATCTGACCATAAGGGTTGATTTTTAAAAATCCCCTGATCATGGGGTGCCTGGGTGGCTCAGTCGGTTAAGCAGCCGACTCTTGATTTCAGCTCAGGTCATGATCTCAAGTCTTGGGATTGAGCCCTGTGTCGGGCTCTGTGCTCAGTGGGGAGTCTGCTTCGGGATTCTCTGTCTCCCTCTGCTCCTCCCTCTGCTTGTGCTCTCTCTCTCTCTCTCAAATAAATGAATAACTATTTTAAAAAATAATAAAAAATAAAATAAAAATCCCCGGATCATAAAGTTTTCATTGGCTTTTCGAGAATACATGAAATATTTTGATGTGAGATGGATCAGTGTTTTCCTTGTCAGTTTGTACTTGTGACTTGCCCCTACTCTGAGATCATAAATATAGTCTCCTGTGTTTTCTTATTTCCTAGTCACTTCATGTATGTAATTTTTTTTTCTGGAATGTTTATTCTACAAAAGGAAACTTTCTCATTGGGTTTTTAAATAGGCATGTAGAAGTCCAGGTGTTTGGTGACTACCACGGCAATGCTGTGTACTTGTTTGAAAGAGACTGTAGTGTACAGAGGAGACATCAGAAGATCATTGAGGAAGCCCCAGGGGTAAGGACCTTGTAAAGAAATTTGCAAGCTTCTCTATAACATAAACCCCAGTCACTCTAATTTTCACATCAGGAATCTGTGGAGGTAGCGTCTCCCCCCAAGTCCTGCTGAGTAACTGCTTCCCAGTGGTAGTATAATGATAAGGCCCCACTGGAGCCTTGGGGCTGAGGAGGGGGTTGAAATTCCCAGGCTACCATACTGAGGGCACAGTAGGGCCACGATCCTTCTGGATGGTATCTAGGAAAATCTACTCTGATCCAAGTACAGACTGTCCCTGACTTCACGATGGTTCAGGTTAGAATTTTTTTGCTTTACGGTGGTGCAAAAGTGATACATATTTAGTAGAAATACTTCACATTTTGAATTTTGATCTTTTCCCGGGCTCTCTGTGTGGTATGCTACTCTCCTGGGCAGCAGCAGTGAGCCAGTCAGCCACACGGTCAGGAGAGTAAATAACTGATACGCCTAAACTCGCTCTTACCCATACCCATTCTTACACTCTCTGTACTTGGTATTCAACAAACTATGTGAGATAGTCAGCCTTTTATTATGGAGTAGCTGTTGTGTTAGATGATTCTGCCCAACTGTAGGCTAATGTAAGTGTTCTGAACACATTTAAGGTAGACTAAGGATGTTTGGTAGGTTACATGTATTTAAATGAATTTTCAACTTCCAGTATTTTCAACTTATGATGGGTTTATCTGGACATAACCCCACTGTAAGTTGAGGAAGATCTGTATCTGACTTATAGTGAGTATTTGTATAATGTTTCTATGTAGATTTTAAATTGTAATGAGAATGTTTGAGGAATGGATTGGCCTGGTTCATTGAATATATTTTTTATGAAGATTCTTTTATTTTGACTTCTGTTTGAGGCATCCCTAAAATATATTAGTCATCTTCCTACCATAAAAGTTTATTGTAGAGGAGAGAGATTTGCTCTTATTTGGCATTTTTTGCCCCCTTGGAATTAATTGTTTACATCTCTTCGGGTCTATCTCTTGACTGGTTTCGGTTGTCCTCTGGGTCAAGGCCTACTCCTAGAATTACCCCTTTTTGGATTTACATTTCTTTTGAGCCTACTACTGCTGTAGGCTTCTTTCTTTTCTAAGGTTTTGTATGTGTTTTTTTTTTTTTCCCAGTAGGTACTTCTAAAAGGTCAGGGATCTGAGGTTTCTGGTTAATCAGTTTGTTGTTCTCATACTATATTCAAATTTTAATTTCTGTTGCAGAGTATATTATATCGTTCAAAGTAAATGTCAACAATAATTTCAGTAAAGCCTTATTTTCAAGTAGTGATTGCTTAAATATATGTCTGTAGAGCACTGTTTTAAAATATTAAAACCTTTGCCTACTTTTTAACCTACATTTCTTTTTATGAACCTTTCTTATTAGCTTGGAATCTTAAGGTTTACCGTTATTCCAAGATAATTATTGGGCACATGGCCCAGATTGCTCTACCATCTTAAAATAAAACAGTGATCAAAGTTTTCATATTGATACATGTAATTGGACATACAGTCATGAAAGTTCTTATGTAGGTACAAAGGAGATATATCATTATGCTGAATAATACCTGCAGTTCATAGAAATTACTAACAGAACCATTAAACTTTGGTATGGGGCTGTTGACTGTGGTATAGGATGTATTTCTTGATGAAATGTATAGCATTAGCTATTTATCCTTATTAACTCTTTAATGTAATATTTGATACCTAGAAATGCAATATTGGATCTTAATGGAAATTTCTAATAGGGCAAAGAACTAATGGAAATTTATTTTAAATATTTTTTTATAGCCTGGTATTAAACCTGAAATAAGAAAAAAGCTTGGAGAAGCTGCAGTCAGAGCTGCTAAAGCTGTAAATTATGTTGGAGCAGGTACGCTAAGATGTACTTTGAATAGAGGAGAAGAAATATTTATGTTCAGAAGGCAAAAGAAACTTACAACTTTTAAATCATTGTCTTTCAAACAAATTATACCCACTTTAAGAAATACATTTTACATTGAGACTCAGTATATACGCATATTTATGTCTATATACATGTATATTTGGAAAAAAAATTCACTAAACAGTACTTACCCTAATTACGTGTAATGCTATTTGATATTTTCTATTCCATTTTAAAATAAAATCACTAAAATGATTTCCTTTGCCTCTTTTAAAATTAGTAAACTTTAATTTTTTAGGTTCACAGCTAAAGTGAGTGGTAAGTACAGAGTTCCCATGCCCTCCATCCCCACACTTGGCGTAGCCTCCCCAAGTACCAGCATCCCACACCAGAGTGGTTCATTTGTTACAATCAACAAACCTACAGTGACACATCATTATCACCCAGAATCCATAATTTACATTAGGGTTCACTCTTAATATTGTGCATTCTATGACATTGTTGTACAGTGTACATTTGGAAAAATGTATGACATGTATTCACCATTGTAGTATCATACAGAGTATTTTCAGTGCCCTAAATAGCCTCTGTGCTCTGCTCTTTATCTCTTCCTGTCTTTAACTCCTGACAATCTCTGATCTTTCTGTTGCCTCCATAGTTCTGTCTTTTCCAGAATATCATACAGTTGGAATCATACAGTTTGTAGCCTTTTAAGATTGGCTTCTTTCACTTAATAATATGCATTTAAGTTTCTTCCATGTCTTTTCATGGGTTGATCATTTCTGTTTAGTGTTGAATAATATTCCATTGTCTGGATGTACCACAGTTTATCCTGTCACCTACTGGAGGATATCTTGGTTGCTTTCTAAGTTTGGCAATTATAAATCAAACTATTATAACAATCTATGTGCAGAGTTCTGTGTGGGCATAGGTGTGGGCATAGTTTCAATTTATTTAGGTAAACAAGAAGTTTAATCGCTGGGTCATATGGTAAGAATATGTTTAGTTTTGTAAGAAACTGCCAAACTTTCTTCCAGAGTGGCTGTACCATTTTGCATCCTCACCAGCAATGTATGAGAGTTCCTATTGCTCCACATCTTCACTAGCATTTGGTATGATCAGCGTTCTGTTCTAATAGGTGTATAGTTGTATCTCATTTTAATTTGCATTTCCCTGATAACATGATTGGAGCATCTTCTCATATGCTTGCTTGCCATCGGTGTTTCTTCTTTAGTGAGGTCTGTTCAAGTGTTTTGCCCATTTTTTAAATTGGTTTGTTTGTTTTCTTACTGAGTTTTACGACTCCTTAGTACATTTTGGATAGTAGTCCTTTATCAGAGGTGTCTTTTGCAAATATTTTCTCCCAGTCTGTGGTTTATCTTCTCATTCTCTTGACATTATCTTTTGCAGAGCGTAACTTTTTAATTTTAATGAAGCCTGGCTTATCAATTATTTCCTTAATGAATTGTGCCTTTGCTGTTGTACCTAAAAAGGCATCACCACACCCAAGGTCATCTAGGTTTTCTCCTACTGTCTTCTAGGAATTTTATAGTTTTGTGTTCCAAATTTAGGTCTGTGGTCCATTTTGTTAATTTTTCTGAGAGTATAAGATCTGTGCCTAGATTCATTTTTTTGTATGTAGACATACACCATATACTATTCCAACACCATTTTTTGAAAAGACTATCTTTGCTCCATTGTATTGCCTTTGCTCCTTTGTCAAAGATCAATTGACTGTATTTATATAGGTCTGTTTCTGGGCTGCCTATTCTGTTCCACTGATCTATTTGTTCTTTTCCCAGTACTTCATTATTTTGAATACTGTAGCTTTATAGTAAATCTTGAACTCAGTGTCAGTCCTCCAGCTTTGTTATTCTCCTTCAATACTGAATTGGCTATCCTGGGTCTTTTGCCTTTCCCTATAAAACACTAGAATCAGTTTTTTGATATCCACAAAATAACTTGCTGGAGTTTTAATTGGGATTGTGTTGTTTCTATACAACAAGTTGGGAGAACTGACATCTTGACAATGTTGAGTCTTCCTTTCCATGAACATGGAATATCTTTCCATTTTGTTCTGCCTTGACTTCTTTCATCAGAGTTTTGTAATTTTTCTCATATAGATCTTATATATATTTTGTTAGATTTATACCTATTTCATTTTGGGGGTGCTTGTGTAGATGGTATTATGTTTTTAATTTCAAATTCTACTTGTTCATCATTGGTATATAGGAAAACAATTGACTTTCGTATATTAACCTTGTATCCTGCAAGCTTCTTAGGTTTGTAGTTCTAGAAGTTTGTCAGTTCTTTTGGATTTTTCTACATAGACAAGTCATCTGTGATGAGACAGTTTCATTTCTTCCTTCTCAATCTGTATACCTTGTATTTCCTTTTCTTACCTCATTGCATTACTAGGACTTTCAGTATGATGTTGAAAGGAGTGGTGAGAATGGACATCCTTCCCTTATTTCTTTTCTTAGTAGGAAATCTTCTAGTTTCTCACCATAAAATATAATATTAGCTGTGGGTTCTTGTAAATCTTCTTTATCAAATTAGGAAGTTCCTCTCCATTAGAGGAACTCCATAGAGTTTTTATTATAATTAGATATTGGATTTCATCCAGTGCTTTTTCTGCATCTATTGATACAGTCATATGATTCTTCTTTAGCTTGTTGATGTGATGGATTACATTAATTGATTTTCAAATGTTGGACCAGCCTTGCATACCTGGGATAAATCCCATTTGGTCATGGTATATATTTACTTTTGTACATTATTGGATTTGATTTGCTAATATTTTGTTGAGGACTGTTGCATCCATGTTCATAAGAGATACTGATTTGTAGTTTTTTTGTAATAGCTTTCTCTCATTTTGGTATTAAGGTAATGCTGGTCTCATAAAATGAGTTAGGAAATATTCTGTTTTCTATGTTCTGGAAGAAATTATAGAAAATTGGTATAAATTCTACCTTCAGTGTTTGGTAGAACTCACCAGTGAACCAATCTGGGTCTATTTTGGAGGTTTGGGAGGTTATTAATGATTATTTCAACTTCCTTAGTAGATATAGGCCTATTCAGATTGTTTCAGAGTGATTTTTTCTTGTGTGACTTTTGGCAGATTGTGTCTTTCAAGGAATTGGTCTGTTTCATCTAGGTTATCAAATTTATAGGCATAGAGTTGTTCATAATATATTTTTAATATCCTGTTAACCATAAGACCTATAGTAATTTCCCTTCTTTCATTTCTGATATTAATAATTTGTCTCTTCTCTCTTTTTTTTTTTCTTAAACAACTTGGCTAGAAGCTTATGTATGTTATTGATCTTTTCAAAGAACTGACTTCTGGTTTTATTTGTCTTCTCTATAGATTTTCTGTTTTCAATTTCATAGATTTCTACTCTATTATTTCTTTTCTCTTGCTTACTTTGGAATTAATTTGCTGTTCTTTTTCTAGTTTCCTAAAATGGAAGCTTAATTTTAGATCTTTCTTCTCTTCAAATATATGGATTCAGTGGTATAAATTTCCCTCTAAGCACTGCTTTCAGTGCATCTCACAAATTTTGAAAAGTTGCATTTCTATTCTCATTTAGTTTAAAATATTTTTAAAATTCACTTGGGATTTCTTCTTTGACCCATGTTTTACTTGGTACTGTGTTATTTAATCTGCAAGTATTTGGAGATTTTTTTCCCAGCTATCTTTTCTATTACTGATTTCTAGTTCAATTGATTTTTAATTTAACTGTGGTCTTGAGAGCAAACATTGTATATCTATTCTTTTAAATTCGTTAAGGTTTTTTCTGTGACCCTGAATGTGATCTGTCTTGGTGAATGTTCCATGTAAGTTTGAAAATACGTAATCTGCTATTGTTGGATAAAGTAGTCTGTAGACATCGATTATGTCCCATTTATTGATAGTGCTATTGAGTTCAACTATGTCCTTACTTTGCTGCCTGCTAGATTTGTCCATTTCTGATAGAGGGGTGTTAAAATCTCCAGCTGTATTAGTGGATTCATCTATTTGCAGTTCTCAGTTTTTACTCTCAGTTTTTATCCCATGTATTTTAATACTCTCTTCTTAGGTGCAAAAATGTTAAGGTTGTTGTGTCTTTTTGGAATATTGACCTATATGGCATTTTCCTTCTCTCTAAAGAACTTCTTTTAACATTTCTTGCAAGATAGATCCACTGCCAATAAATTTTCTCAATTTTTGTTTATTTGAAACAGTCCCTATTTCTCCTTCATTTGGAAGGATAACTCCACAAGGTAACAGAATACCAAGTTGATGATTTTTTTTCCCACTCAAGACCTTAAATAACACTCCACTCTTCTTGCTTGCATCGTTTCTGAAGAGAATCATATGTAATTCTTATCTTTTCTCCTTTATAAGTAAGGTGTTTCCCTTCCGCCCCAGATTCTTTCAGGATTCATTCATTCATTCATTCATTTTTATTTTCTGTACTTTGAAAATGATATGCCTAGGTATAGGGGTTTTTTGGCATTTATCTTGCTTGGTGTTCTCTGACCTTCCAGAGGTGTGGTTCAATGTCTCAACATTAATTTGAGAAAATTCTTAGTCATTATTGCTTCAATAATGTTTCTGGTCCTTTCTTTTTTATTTTGGTATTCCCATTATGTATCTGTTACACCTTGTCTAGTTGTCCACAGTTCTTGGATATTCTGTTTTGGTTTTTTCAGTCTTTTTTGTCTTTGCTTTTAGTTTTGGAAGTTTCTGTTGTCATATTATGTCATATCAGCTCAGAGATTGTTTCCTTAGCTGTGTCCAGTCTACCGATGAGCCCACCAAAAGCATTCTTCATTTCTATTACAGTGTTTTGATTTCTAGCATTTCTTTTTGATTCCTTGTATTTCCATGTTTCTTATGTTATCCATGTGGGTTCTTGCATGTGTCTACTTTTTCCATTAAAGCTGTTAGTGTACTAATCAAAATGTTTTTAAGTTCTTGGTCTGGGGATGCCTGGGTGGCTCAGTCGGTTAAGCATCTGCCTCTGGCTCAGGTCATGATCCCAGGGTCCTGGGATCAAGTCCCGCATCGGGCTCCTTGCTCAACAGGGAGCCTACTTCTCCCTCTGCCTCTCTCCCCTGCTTGTGCTGTCTCTCTCTCTCTCTCACAAATAAATTTTAAAAATCTTTAAAAAAAAAAGTTCTTGGTCTGATTATTCCAATATTTCTGTCATATCTGAATCAAGTTCTGATGCTTTTTCAGTTTCTTTAAACTGTGTTTTTTGCCTCTTAGTGGGCCTTGTGATTTATTTCTTGATAGCCAGACCTGAGGTACCAGGTAAAAAGAACTGTGGTGAACCAGTCTTTAGTCATGTGGTGATTAGGTGTGGGGGAGGGGAGGTGTTCTGTAGTCCTAGGATTACATCTTAAGTTTTTTGGTGAGCTTGTGCCCTGAATTTCACCAGTGCATCTCAGTTTGTTTTTTTGCTGGTTTGTTTTGATTTATTCATTTTTGGGGGACACGATGGCTGGAGATGTGTATTTCCCTTCCTTCAGTTCTGTTAATTAGGCTCTGGTGAAACCCCCATAGTTTAGGCTCTAGTAAAATAGTTCTCTTATGGACAAACCTTGGTCAGAATAGAACTCTGGTGTACTTCAAATGATTCCTTTTCCCCTTCCACTGCTAGAGGGTCAAGGGAATTTTTCTCCGGTATTCACTGTGAGGACCTGATGGAGCTTCTGGAGGTAAAACACAAAAGTATGGGGGGCTGTCCTTGGGGATTGTGACTCTCAAGAGTCGTCCACACTGAGCGTCCAGCAACTTGTCGGTTACAGCCCGGTTTTTCCTCCTCTGGTACTTGTTCCTTAGAAGTTTTGTTCATGGGTTTCTGTTCCAGTAAGTTGTGAATCTCTGTATTTGCCTGTCTCTCTGATTTTGGGGGCAGCAGTTTGCCCTGTGACCTCAGGTCTCTGATGGATCTGGGGAAAATTGTTCATTTTTCAGTTTATTTGGCTTTTTACTCTTGTCGGGTTAGAATGGTGACTTCTTAGTTTCTTATGGACCAGAAACTGGAAGTCTTCACTAAATTTTTACAAGGCACTAATGGCTTATGACCCCCAGTTTGAGAAACAGTCTTAAATTATATGGAACTACTTTCAGCTAAGTGAAAAAAAACTCAAACACAAAACACTATGTAGTATATGATTTCATTTATATGACATTCTAGAAAAAACTAAGGTTGCCTGGGGCCAGTGACCCAGGGCAGGGTCTGACTGCAAAGGGGAACAAGGGAATGAACATTTTGGATGATGGAAATGTTTTGCATTTTCATGGTGGTGGTGGTGGTGTTTCTATGGTGTTTCTATGACTGTATTCAGTTGCAATTGAACACACTTCCCCACGCTTAAAATGGATAAATTTTATTATATTTTATTATATTAAATTATACCTTAATAAAGTTGGAAAAGATGTAGCTTTAGTTGCTAAACAATCTTCCAAAGGATCACCAGCTAAAGGACTTTTAAAGGAAACCTGCAAAGCCCACAGTCAGGAGGAAAAAATGTTATTATATTTATTCTACTGGGCTAGAGGGAGGTGGGATGTCACAGTGTGAGGTTCCAGGGATCTTGGTGCCCCGAAGCCGTAACACATGGTCCAGCCATGTTCTCGTTGCTGCAACGGTTGAGACTACTCACAACTTGGGCTTACCCTTTGCTGAAAACCCCAAACATACTTTTCTGTTGCTAGATTTCATGTGGCTCCCTATTTTTTAGTAACAATCATTTGCTGCTGCAAAATGTGAGCTATTTTCTTCATGAAATGCAAAATGTTTGCCATTGAATGAAGGCAGCATTAAAAGTTGATGTGATTTGTTTCTCTCTCTGGTTTCGGGAGACAAACCATAAGAGACTGTTAACTATAGGAAACTGAGGGTTGCTGGAGAGGACGTAGGTGTGGGATGGGGTAACTGGGGGATGGGCATTAAGGAGGGCACGTGATGGAATGGAGCACTAGGTGTTATATACCACTAATGAATCACTGAACTTGACCTCTGAAACTAATACTACACTGTATGTTAATTAATTGAATTTAAATAAAATAAAGTTTAAAAAATATATTAATAAGAAGTTGATGTGATACATCATAGAAGATTTTGATTTCTACTGATCATATGCTATTGAAATGTGACTGTTGTATTTTATCTTTTAGGAACCGTGGAGTTTATTATGGACTCAAAGCACAATTTCTACTTCATGGAAATGAATACAAGGCTGCAAGTGGAACATCCTGTTACTGAGATGATCACAGGAACTGACTTGGTGGAGTGGCAGCTTAGGGTGGGAGTATTTTTTCTGTTAAAGATCAGTCTTGACAATAGGTTACCTGCTAGCCTCCTAAAAGAAGGTGTCACTTTGCACAAGGGTTCAATTCTTGGTGGTTGTCATGAGGACAGGAAAATGGGCAGTTAAAGATGATATTTCATTTGTTGCTGTGACATTATTGTCACTTTATGGACTCAGATTTCTAACCTGTCACTTACCATCATTTCTCTTCAGCATGGGGTAGCCTAAGGCAAGGGGCAAGTGAGATGCTGCCACTGAGGCTTTCTTGTGACCACATTATCTCAACACCAAAGCCTCGTGCTCTACCTGAGGCCACATTATTCTGGGCTGGGCCATCATTTGATTTTAGAGTCAGGACAGATGCTAGCCCCAGTGAAATGAGCTAAGGAAGAGCTGGGAATGAAGAGCCAAGGTAATGGTTAGACCAATAGAGTGAGCCACATGCAAGTGCTGACTTGCACACTGTTGTTGCCTGTGGTAGGATAAGTATAGCCCATTCAGAATAAGTGTTTAGAAATTTTTATAGCATTTTTGACATTGCTATGATACGTCTACTATATGTTACAAAAGTGTAAGTCTATAATTGTTCCTTTTTTATAAATAGTTTGAGAAACGCTGGCCTGAACTAGAGTTCCACAAAGCATATTCCTTCAAATAAGAATAATACCTTAGTCTGTTTTACTCTCATTATTGAAAACAGTTGATTTTATAGCCTTTTTTAATATGAAAAAAATGTTTTAAGTACTATAAATACTTTTGATCTCTGTAGGATTCTTGGTTCTTTATATATTCTGAATCTAAATTTTTTGTGTGTGTGTTGTGATGCTAAAGTCTTAATTATTTTGCTAATTTTGTCTTTTCAGAATGTCGATGGACAGTAATATCATGTTCCTTTTGCTGGTTCCTTGGGGATGATTGGTGGTTTTAGTTGAGCCATAAGATTCTTTGGGGCCTCTATAGCCTTGGGAGCTAATGAAAGCCAGGCACATCAGGCTAGTAAGTGTTAGTAAGTGATGGGAAAATTGTAGCGGATTTAGAAAGTTCTAGAAAGAGTGCTTCTGTTTCCAGAATTAAAGGAAAGGGGGATATTTTTTTTTTCTGAAGCAGTAATTGAGAGTCCAGAATTTTTTTTTTTAGATTTATTTATTTATTTTAAAGGCGGTGGGGGGGCAGAGGGAGAAGGAGAAAAAGTCAGATTCCGCACTGAGTGCAGAGCCTGACGTGGGGCTCAATCTCATGACCTGGAGATTTCAACTTGAGCCGAAACCAGAGTCAGACGTTTAACCGACTATGCCACCCCAGCACCCCAGGAGTCCAGAATTTTGAAATCATGATGGATAAAAGGTTTCTAGGGAAGGGAAGAGAAAGCTTTTGGGCATAAGGGGAACCAGTAGACTTTTATTTCTGCATCTCAAGAAATTGCAAGAGCTTTGAAGGCCCTTTAAAGAGAGAAGTAGGCTTTTCTTATCTCGGGGTTGGGGCTGGAATTCTTGAACTGATGGATACCACTGGACCTCATTTACAGTGTTCAAGGCACTATGGAGTCTTGCTTCCAGGCAGCGGTAAAACAAGGGGCCTCACCATTTGGTGAGTTCAAGCTCCAGGATCAGCCTCTGGAGTCAAAGGCTCTCTAGAATGAGGCTGCAGTGTTGTCAGCATCTAGGCTGCAGACTCAGGTGGGTAGCCATGTCCAGGGGAAGCTGGGGAGAAGATCCAAGGTCCAGGAGTTCCAAAGAGTCAATGTCTAAGCCTGAGAGAACTCACATGGCACAGATTTCCAAGGCTCCAGAGGCACGGGGCCTGTCTCTTCTGAGCCCAGATAGAAGCCAACCCGAGAGGAAAATAGGCAAAGATAAGCCAGGTTGAAATGGGGCTATATAGTCAGAAATAAGATCACATCATGAAATATGGACACATGGTCATTCTTGTTTATATCAAGACAAATAGGATTCTTTATTAAAACATTAAAAAGTATTTCATTATAAAGGATAAGAATGAAATGACAATAGCTAACACTTGTGTAGTGCTTACTATATGCACTTTTCTCTGTAGCATCAAGAGGTTAAGAAACATGCCCAGAACAGAGGAAGTATAGAGACAGAATTTGAACCCAGGCAATAGGGCTGCAGTCTGTGGTTCAAAACACCATGTCATAAAGGCATTCAGTGTAGTTCATTTTCCTTTCATTCTTAACTGCTGTGGTTCCTGATTTTTCTTATCTACAGATTTAGAGAGATGAAACCTTTGCCTCTGTTTCATGCTTACCTCCTTAGTTGCAAGTAGTGCTAAATTACTTAGTTTCTTCCCCTGTATCTTTTGCTTTCTCAGTTCTTTTCTCATCTTGGAGGACAATTTAAGGAGAGAGAAGAGAGAGAGAGAGAGTGACAGCATGTCCTCCAATAGCCTTTTCCAAATTATACTAGTTGAAGAGAGAGAGTTGTTGTATTCGTACATAACAGTCAGTGTGATTGTTAGTAGTGATAGACAATGATGGTCATCCTGCTTATAATCTGGTATCATGCAATATGGGTTAACATAACAAAATTGAAAAATCAGCATGTTCCCCTTTCTGTTTTGCTTTATCACTCACTTGGTGATGAAGATGACAAAAATGGGGGCACCTGGCTGGCTCAGTGGGTAGAGTGTATGACTCTTGATCTCAGGGTGGTGAGTTTGAGCCCCACATTGGGTGTAGAGATTACTTAAATAAATAAACTTTAAAAAAAAAAAAAGGTTAACAAAGATGACAAATGCCACCCTTTAGCCATAGCTGTGAGTGTAGTCCTAAACACCAACTAATAATTAGCTATAAAAAGAAGATTGGTTTGGTAACTGAGCACTGATGTTTTAAATGAAAATGGATTATCTTGCCAGTAAGAACTTTTAATTGTATTACATTGAAAAAACAGTGATTTTTATATTTATAATTTAGTCATCAGTTCACCTGCTTTTTCTACTTTAAAGACTCTAGAAATCCATTGTACTTAATACATTATTTCTAAGCTGCATCTGTTTTTTAACCTATTTTTGTTTTTGCCTCAAACTCAGGGAGGTGAGGAAAATAATAGTTTTTATTTGGCTTCGTTATAAAGCCCGAATGCACATTTTCCATGGAAAAAGGCAAGACCATCAACTTCCCAAGTCTCATAGGTGCTATAAGGGGGATTTTCACAGAAGCACATCTTTCACCAGATTGCAGCAGGAGAGAAGATTCCTTTGAGCCAGGAAGAAATAACTCTGCAGGGCCATTCCTTTGAAGCTAGAATATATGCAGAAGATCCTGACAATAACTTCATGCCCGGGGCTGGGCCATTAGTGCATCTCTCCACCCCTCAGGCAGACCTTTGCACTAGGATCGAAACTGGAGTGAGACAAGGTAAAATGAATTCAATGAAAAGTCTCGGTCTTGTGGAATTTTCGGTGCATTACTATTTCTGGACAGCATCTTTTCCCTGTGTCTTATGGAAATGTTTAGTATGTTTTAGAATAAAGGACTTAGGGGTGCCTGGGTGGCTCAGTTGGTTAAGCGACTGCCTTCGGCTCAGGTCATGATCCTGGAGTCCCGGGATCGAGTCCCACATCGGGCTCCC